CTTTCCAACTTAGGGTTACGCTTTAGTTGGATTTTTGGATTATTTGGATAGTTAGATTAGATTAGCTAGTCACGAACTTCTGTGTAACCAGACCTCCGAACGAGTTCTAACCCAGAACCAATTAAGACTTTTTCAACGTATACTATTGTAGAAAAACGTAAATGCAGTATGTAAATAATTAAAATTTATATTATTACATTCGAATGCAGTGTAAATAGATGCCAATCAGGGCTTAAACGACTATATTAATTTTCCGGCCATTTACTGCGCCACGGTTATTGTTTAAAGTGTCTTTTTTGATTCATCAAAATTAGTATGTACAGTACGTTATATAAACTAGTGCATTAAATTGTTATTTTAGCAAATAAATACTAAATATATTTTAGATCAAGAACAGAACTTATGCATGGCCGGCAAATTACTATGGTCGTTTAAGCCCTGATGCCAATTCATATTTAATTTTAATCATGTGTACTTATATTATCAGGGTAGATTTATGCTTAGTCATTTTGCAAATACTGTTACAACATATTCAACTACAAAAAAAAATTAGAAAGCGATAAAATATCTAGATTGTCTGTGAAACATTGAAAATTAATAAATGTCTACTGTATCAAAGTTTGATCTTTGGACAATAGTAATTCAGAAGATATTATGCTTCAAAAACAAACTTAGGCCTAATCGGATCCAATTTTACTATTGTACATTCGTATTACAGATCCTTAAATTTTATGGTAATCATATATAATGTTTATTGTTATCGCTATTGTGAGGCTTTTACTCTTTTTAATACTTTGTGTATCACAGGCTATGTAATGGCTGAAATAATTGGATCGTCAATCCGAAGCTTTTATTGGAAATAATGTGGTTCCTTGGAATCGGTTCGAATTTTATGTTCCCTCTATCTTTAATTAATGTTACGGCTGAAGCTGGAAACGGCTGATGCTGGAAATCTTAAATACTTTAATATGAAATTTACGATTTTTTTTTTTTTTTTTTTTATAGTTAGATTAGAATTTAGGATAACAAAAGAGTATAGCGATAGTTGGATTTTAGCAGGGTTTATGGTTTTAAATCGAGACCCCTAATTTCCAACATCAGCCATTTTCAGCTTCATCTGCGACAATTTAATTATTTTATCTGCAATACGTACTTTTTTTATTTATTGCTAAAAAAGGAAGATAAGTAGTTACAAAGTATATTTCAAATCATTAGATGGTGAAATACATGCATGCGATTTGTTAAATTTAAAAATTTAACGAAATGTACTCATAATATAACGTTATATTATTTATACGTAACTTATACGTACGTAGACTATTCTTGAGCTCTTGCTCTTCAACTTATAATGCTCTAGCAGAGCTCACCAAGGGGTCAAACTGCTTAACGAGACTTGACAATTATTTGTACATTTGACATTAAATTGTTAAAAAAAAAGTTGATTTGGTATTGATTCTAAACAAGGTTTTACGATTTTTTTACTTTTTTAATTTTTTGGTTTCGGATTTTTTACCGTCCAGATTAATTGATAATCTCTAAAATTAAAGACATCTACGTATTTTGTAGTTCGCTGAGCCAATCATTTGCCACCATTTTCATATAGTTAATCATTTTTCAAATTTAACAATAAGGTAGCTGCGCGATGCTATCATGTGAAAACAGGAACGTAAGCTTACTAGATTATTCGAATAGATAAATAAAAAATTTTTTGTTTTACTAAACAGATAAAAATTTATTAATTATGTTTTTTTTAGAAGGTTTAATTATGATGACATTAGTATTGTTTCGTAGTTATTGTTGAGGTCGAATAGTTATTCGATATTATTGATTATAATGTCACATGAAGATTTTAGCATAAATATCAATCACAGATCAATTGAGAAAATTCTCGACTCAGTATCATGCTTACAAAAAAAAAAAAAAAAAAAAGCATATACTCGTGCGTGTAATTTAAAGATCAATCTAATTAATAAAAACTACATAACTAATGTATAGCCATAACCTTATTACATCTACAAGAAGAAGCCTGAATTATGTTTTTAAATAACAAACTATTCGACGATGGAATCTGCAATGGTACAATTGGGCTTATAACTAAACTAAGAGATAGTAATAATATCGAAGTTACATTTCCAACTTATGAAGGCATAAACAAAGTTACTGTTCAAAAAGAAACATCCTACTTTGAAATCAATAGCATACCTGCTTCTCAACAACAATTTCTTCTTCAGAATGCTTTTTCTCTTACAACTCACAAAGTGCAGGGTTTAACTCTTCCACATGTTATTACTAGTATCGATGAAACGGGTCCGTATCATTTCACCAACAATTATTTCATCGACAGCTCATTTAGCTGACATCACGCCGTGACAATTTACTAAAAATATATACCTGAAACTAATAAAACCCTAACCCTAACCTCATGTGATGTCAGCTAAATAAACTTTCGGTAAAATGACTGTCGGTGAAGTGAGAGGCATCGACTTATAATGTATGCACGACTTATCTGTCAAATAAACTAAAACTAATATGCAAATATCGATATGTATTAAACCACCTATCATAATTTGATGTACTGATCTCAACAAAACCTAGTTCACCTTCTAACTAACCAAACTCTCTGCATTTGTGCGATGCTTTATCTTGTTTTGGTTATACGGGGTACTTTAATAATTTGACATGTCATATTTGAACCGGATCTACAAATTTAGAATAACCGTTATGCTGTGGGTGGCTTCAAAGTAGAGACCACTAGTGATGTGAGCTGACCCGGCCCATCAGCCAGGTGGGCCGAGGGTCGATCCACAACATCATGGGCCGGGGCCGATTTAAGTAAGTTATTTTTTTTATTTTTATTTTTTTTTTGCAAACAAATACGCATTATCATAATTGCCGCCAAAAATATTCTCTGTACATCTATTAATTAAAACTTTATTTCGGTCTTATGAACTTACCAAATTTCGATTAATTTGGTATAATGATAAGATAACAGAACATTTCACCTAATTTTTATAAGCCAATGATTTAAATATATGCTTGTTAATTTAAAACCCGATGAAACCAGAGTTGACAACCAGTAAACTCGTTATATAGATCATGTTAGTGTTAAATCTGCATTTAACGTTAATTAAAAATTAAATTATGTGAAAGCGGATTGTGATTAACATAGCTCAGGTTTCACCCTGTTGTATTATTCAGCTTGTTGTTTAGTAAGTAGGACAAAGGGTTCAAAAGTATCATTATGGAACTATAACGATCGTTGTTCGAGACCGTTGTTACTTTCGAATTTCTTCTTTATCCTCGCGTAGAATTAGTGATGTGCCACGTACTGTACTATACGTACTGTACTGTACGTACTGTACGTACTGTACGCTAAAATTTTGACAGT